CTAAGAGTTAGTAAAATTTTTATATATTTTTTTCTCTTTTCCACAGAATTACAATGATATGGGTGTGTAGTGACACCTGGAAAGATGTAAGATGTGTTGTAAGCCTAGTTCCCTTCAGTGATTTGACATAGCTGTCCTTCCTGGCTATCCCCAAGCAGGTCACTCACAGGATAATTTTAATTGTCTTAGTTTTCATCTTGTATTTTATCCTGACCTTCATTCCTTAAGGGTCATCCACGCTTCAGATATGGACGCCTGCCCATGTTCAAAACATATCTTTCTTCTAGGCAGCCCAGTTACAATCCCATGATCGATATCAGTTAAGACGTTAAGATTTAGAAATGCCTTAATATGTTGCCTTGTCCTAGGGTTTTTTATATTCTTAGGAAGGACTTTGGAGTTGTAACATATAACCTGGACTAACATAGTTTTAAAAGTTTTGCATGTGTGTGTGTGTGATTTTTTTTTTTTTTTTTGAATTTTACTTCTCAGGCCAGCCCCGTGGCTCACTCAGAAGAGTGCAGCGCTGGTAGCGCTGAGGCCGCGGGTTCGGATCCTAATAGGAATGGCCAGTGCGCTCACTGGCTGAGCATGGTGCAGACAACACTGTTCTGAAGGTTGCGATCCCCTTACTCGTCAGGAAAAAAAAAATTTACTTCTCAAAATACATTGTACTTGACTGATTGTGATGGGCAGATGAAGAAATGTTTTAGCAGATGGATGTGTGTCAGGAACATGTAGAATGGGGGAAAGTGACAACATCACAGTATATTTCAGATGATACTGTACAGATCATGCTCTGCCCAGCCATGAAACAGGAAGGTTAATTTGGCAACACTACAAGAAAATTTGAAATTTCTCTATCATAGTCAGTAGCAAAGAAATCAGCCTATTCCTCGAATATGCCTCCATCCATTTTTCTCTTTGTCTGAGTTCTGGAATTCTTTCTCCAAGGCCTATCTCAAATACACCCTCCTCTATTCTGGGAACCACCACCCTTTAAGGCCACTAGGAGAAATCTCCTGACGTCTCCCTACCCAAACCTAGCTCTACTCCAGTTATGTACCCAACAGTAAGATCTGAATTCCTCGGGCAGAAACAATGTCTTACGGTTCCTATGTACCCATTGTCCACGTGTTATCTAATGTTCCAGTGAGCCCAAGCAAATATTCGTCACATTTACCACGTTTATATAGTAATTTGCCTGTCTCTCTTTCTGACAAATTATATAGGGCAGGGAATGTGCCTTATTCATTTCTATACCTACAGTGACTTGCCCAGTCTCCAGCACATTGTACATATCACACATGCTTACTGAATGAATGAACAGTTTGCCTGCATGGCAGTTGAGACATTCTTCCACTTTGGTTTTTTTGTTTTGTTTTGTTTTATTTTGATAAATGAAATTTTAACCTTTCTTTTTACACTAATTCTAGATAAAATGGTTACTAAATGGTTATAGTCTGAATTAATACTATATGAGACTATACATCCTATCTCATCATTATGTCAAATGGGGACAAATATCTTTTCTCCTTCTACTTGCCTTACTTTCCCAATAATACATTTAGGTCAGTTTCTAAACTCATCTGTATCTTTCAATTTTAAACAAAGACTTTGGCACTTCAAAATTATCCCAGAATGAAATCCGATTAGCTATTTTTCATGCTGTGTAGGAGCCATACAATAGAGCAGAGGTATGAGTCTAGAAACCCTGGGTTATGGATGAGTGTGAACAGAAATAGGGAGCATATCTGTAGAGGCAGTTCCCCCACAGAATCTGCAGGAATGCTGAATCGCTTCACCAAATAATGACCTTGTGAGCTCTGGGAGATGATCTTCGCCATTCACCAGCTGTGTGAGCAATGGCATGGCCAGGAGCTCCCACTGTTCTGATATATTCTTAGAGGCAGTGTAGGAAAGAAGGAAAAGAGTAGAATCTGTGATGTGTGATCATCTGTTGCGCAAATAAGCAAGAAAACCGTAAATGTAATTGCTTCTTTTTTCAGACAGCTAGTTAGAGTTGATGCTGAGCATAGTGTTGGACTTTTGAAAAAGCATCTCATCCTGAAGTTAATGCCTAGAGATGTATGAATTTAATAACAGAAGGCTGGTGCCAAATGCAAAATCACATCAAAATATTGAGCGACTGGCCAGCAAGAAGTGACTGCAGTGTGGTCGTGTCTTTCAGAAAAGCATTCTATTAGAAGAAATATAGCAGCCCTCTTTTGATGAGACCAAAAACAGCATTTCTTTCTTCACTTGCAGAACAGAAAAGGAAAGCTGTTTTTTTCTTAATGAGGCTATGCTGGTGGAATTGACTTTCACCAAAGAGAAGCAATTTAGTGGCATGGTTTGCCAGATAACCATGAGCCAGTTTCATTGCATGGTGATATATAAAGCATAAAAGTTAATAGCATGGTGGGAAATATCATTAATGCAATTTTATTATTGTACATAATTTTCTAAATTAAGCTCCATTTACTTAGTAGTTTAAAGAAAATACTGAATATACAGCAATATATAACTTGAGCTAGACAAACTACCTGGAGTGTTAGAATAAACCTAAGAAAAGCCAACATGATCAGCTATCTAGAAAATAATCAACAAATGATAAAATAAACCTGGACTTTAATCCTACTTCCAAAATCAACTCAATATCTCATCTCATGAAGCCCCATGAGTTTGTTTCCTATAATATTACTTAGAAAAATACTCCTTTGGGGGAAGGTTTATTTACATACTTCTTAGATATTGTTAACTATTTCCCTCAGAGTTAGTTCTTCATGGGGAAAAAAAAGTATAAAGAATAGAACCCAAGGTGGAACAGTAATCCAATCCATAAGTGATGGATATTACTTTTTCCCATATCTCTTCTAATGCTTGGTCACAAATGGGGGAAAAAAAGTATAAAGAATAGAGCCCAAGGTGGAACAGTAATCCAATCCATAAAAGATGGGTGTTACTTTTTCCCATATCTCTTCTACTGCTTGGTCACAAAATGTGTCTCAAGTAAACCTTTTTGTAAAGATGCATCTGTTTACCCTAGCTGAAATCTCTCTTTCTACTTTTAAGTGTGGAGAGTGTCTTACTTCCTCATTCCTCTGGCATTCTTCATCGCACTATCTCCTGTGATCATTTTTTACTTAATATTTTCCCTCCCCTGCAGAACATCAGCATAAATCATGCCTAATTGATCACTCACATTGGGACATAGACCATACATGCTCGAATGACCAGGAATGCCATTCCTCCTCACATCTCACCTTTGCATTCATCAGCCAAGAGGGCACAGGCTCTGGCTGGCACTGGTCTCTTTACAGAAATATACACTAGTTCTTGTTGAGATAATGCTTGTATACCCCTAGAGCATGCTATTCTCATGGGCAATATGTCATGTCATTCCCCTGTTTAAAAGTTTCCAATGGCTTCTCAGACTAAAAATGCAGTGCAAACCCCTTTACCTTTTCCATCATCACTGATTCTGCATGCTCTGTCTCCTCTCTTCCTTTTCAACATGTCCCCTGCCACTTACATCATCCCTTACTATGTTTCTGCCATATTAGCTGACTTTCTGCTTCTTTACATGGTCGCGTTTGTCCCCACTTCATGATCCTTTACTGGTTCTCTGCCTGGAACACTCTTTCCAGATGTTCATATGCAGCTTCTGGTTTCTCCTTGTCCTTGTTGCTCTCTACCCAAATGTCACCTTCTAGCAGAGGCCTTCTCTTGACACTCTAGTAAATTCCTACCTTTCAACTTCTACCTCTTAACCTGCTTTATTTTCTCACCAGCACCCTTATTATTTTATAATTATGCTATTATTTATTTGATTGTTCATTTTATTGTGTGCCCTTCCATTTGAATGCAAGTAACAAAAGGGTAGAGAAATGTGTCTTATTTGTGTCTGTATCACAGTGTCTGGAATGGCGCCAGGCACATAGAAGTTTCTTAGTCACTATTTCTTAAATGAATGAATGAATAAATGAACATCAGACTGTTTTAAGCATCAAGCCTAATGAACTTATTGAAACAACAAAACCAGTGCAATTAGCAACCCAACAATTATGTGTCTGAAATGGCTTCCAATGACAATTCTTGATATCTTTATATTTTATGCTAAGTAGCTTCCAGTGGCTCTCTCTTAAACTATCACCCATATTATTTGATGTTCAAAGTCATGATGATGATGCTAAAGGAGAAACTACACTACATGTCAAGAAATTTAATATTAAAGTTTAGGAACAAAATATCTCTCATTAGAGGTAAGTATAATCTTTTCTTGAGAGACTTTTAAAAAAAAATCTCTAACAGAATTATCTCATGCTTGATTCAAGATTATAATATTGTTTTTAGTACTACAGACAGGTAGGTTCCTGAGAGTCTCTTTAGGTTTAGAATGCCAGGGAGGGAAACTGAGGTTGGAAATGGTCAGGTTGTAAATGGTCTAGTTTCCCTACCTTCATTCTTCAGCCACTTCCCACACCATAAATTAGGGCACACATTAATGTCATTTAAAGGTTGTTGTTCAGTTGTGTATACTTCCAACTTTATTACTTTGAATTTTGAGACTCTTAATTTCCTTATTTGTACTTCTTGGACTTTATTATATCTAGAAGTACCACCTAAGGTAAGATAGGTCATTATTCCAGGAGATGATGCCCCTGACAAGTACTCATGCTTGTGATCGAGGCTTAGGGCAACGTGCCACTGACAATTTGAGGAGGGATAGAGAATCTTTGAGAGAAATAAAGAGAGAACGGCCCTGGCCACTTGTCTTAAAATTTGAGTAATTCACCCAAAGTATATTATGCTCAATCTCACATAAACATGGTGATTCCAGCTTGTACCTACCTTGCTCATTCATATTTAAATCATCGCATTTGTAGACATAGAAAATGAAGTTGTGCATCTAGCCCAGGATGGCTTCCTGGTTATCTCATAAGGCAACAAGATTTGATTTCTCAGAACAACTCAAAATACTTGAGAAGTACCCCCACCTGTCTTTAAATAGAGCATCATCGATCCCTTTCCTACGAAGGAGATCTTGTGGTCCATAGGGTGTGTCTTTGCATTTGGAGTCTGTGTCACAGAGTAGGGTTTGCAGGAACGGGAAGAATCCTGTACTAGGAAGGTTTCGAGGTGCGAGGTAACCTGAAATTAAGAAACAATAATCACATCACTATGACATGTTTTCCTGGGAAGGGAAAGAAGTGCAGGAACTCTGTTTTGGGAAGTTACCTTCTGAACTATGACTGTCTGGGTCATCCAAACTAGCGCTACCTCTCCAACTAACACTGACCACGGAGCAGAAGCAGGCTTGTAGCATGTTTTGCTTAACTTCATTTTTCTGGATTTGCTAATACTTGTATGTATCAAAAGATTTAAAAATGCCCGTTGCCCTGAGATTTCCTCTTCCTGGGACTTATTACAAGGAAATACTTAAAGATAGTTTCAGGAATGTTTGCTAGAGTGTTATAAAAAGAAATCACAGTGTAACCATATGATGAAACATATGCAGCCAATAAAAATGTTGTCAATTAATATGGAAAATGTTTATAATATATCATTAAAAAGAATAGGTTAGAAAACGGTATGGAAAAATAGTCCCAGTATATAAACATATGTGTACGAACAATCTAAAAGGTTATTAAACCACCAAAACTTTATTGATGGCTTTTTTTTCTGGGTAGTATATTTCACATGATTTTTATTTACTTCCTTTTGACTGTATATTAACTTTTTTTTCACAATGTACATGTCTTCTTTAGTAACCAGGTGAGTGTGAATGCAGCTAATCTTTCAGGAATTAGGAAATATTTTTGGTCTCCTCAAAATTTAGCATTTTGGGGGGTATTTTGGGAGATAGTCTGTACTTTCTGCTCATTTTTTCTGTAAACCAAAAACTTATAAAAATAAAGTCTATTAATTAAAAATCTTTTTAGCATTTTAATTATTCTAGCTATACAATTTTTTTTCCTATTTTTTTCACCACAGTACATGCTGTGAATGAATATGCAGGTTTTCCTCAAAATTAAAGTCATAGAAAACAAGAACTGTGACAGTAAAGGGTTTTGTCAGCTTCACCTTAACATTTGCTTCATACGTGTGATTATGGCATACACATGAGTCAGGACAATAAGCAAGCTGTGAAATACAAATCCTTTCACTGTTAGGTTTGATATTAAATCACTAGATTCCTCTCTTTGGGGGAATATGGAGACAACAAACTGTTTTAAAAAGTCAGGTTTAAGAGCTATGAGGGAAATTCTAGACTGAAGCCTAAAAAGCAAAACTTTAATTTCCTCATGGATCTGTTAAAGAGTGTCAATACAGTTTTGTTCACATTTTAAAGAGAAAGAAGAATAGTAAAAAAAAAAAAAAAAAAGATGGTTAGAGCAACAGGGCTATGCATTAATATACTAGCAGAGAGAATAATAAAGAGACATTTTATCCAAATAACTTAAATACAGATCTGCATAAGGAAAGAGAACTGGAAATAAAAGGGAAGGGGCAATAGGAATGTTGGCCAGAAGAAAAGTAAAGAGGGAAATGAGAGAGAGAAATTGGAAAATGCTCTACTGCCAACTTTGAAGATGAAGAAAGCAGAAAAAAGCCAAGGAGTCCTGCAGCCTCTAGAAGCTAGAAAAGGCAGGAAAATAGATTCTCACCTAGAACATCCAAAAAGAATGCAACCGTGCCGACACCTTGATTTTTAGCCCACTGAGACTAAATTCTAGACTTCTGGCCTCCACGGCTACAAAATAATGTCTGCATTGCTTTTAAGGCACTAAGCTTGTGGTAATTTTTTATAGCAGCCATAAGAAAATAGTACAGAAACAAATACCAGTATGAATGACAGTTTTGAAAACTCAGAAGAAAATGGAGAGAGCTTAGTCCTGCCAAACTATTCACCAGGAGCTTCTAAGCAGCTTCTCTCTCTGACACCAGAAAGACTGGTGCTTCTCCTAATATTAAACCCAAGTGAAAATTGCAGCGAACCAACAATAATTCCTATCAGTGTTTTCATTGCAGTGCAATTCCCTGAATAAGCTAGAGAGTAGCAGTCAGATTAGCTTCTAACTATTAGCTTTTCACATCGTCCCTCTACAACAAAATTCTGCCACAGTGAACTGCATACCTTTGCTTAGCATAGTGCATGGGATGCCATAGATGTTTAATAAATCTATGTTGCTGTTATTGCTGTTGCAACAGGTCCTGAGAAGCAAGACGTTTGCAATTCTGCAGAAGAAATTCACTGTTAATGGAAATCCACCCTGTTACACAGATCCCAACTGTAGCTGCTCACTCAGGCTGTGGGTCTGCAAATGTGCTTGTTTCTACTCTATTTCAAATACACGCAGTGGTTCACTTGAATGGAAGGTAGATAGAAGGGCAACAGAAAAGATAACCAGATGACTCTTCTGCTCTATGCCACTTAGCGTGATGGTGTGGCTGAGTCAGGCTGTGTGGAAAATAATGGAAGCTCAAGAAAAGCTGTGTTACAACTTGAAGGAAAGAAGGAAAAAGATGTCACAGGAAGAAGACCTTTGGAGAGGTGGTTTTTTACATCCAATTTCACCTTTCCTGGTTTGATTACAATTTGCAGATTATTTGAGAGGAATGTGAAGGAATTTAAACCCACAACATTGAGTTGATATCTAGAGAGAATAAGCCTACTTTGTAGAAAAATTCAATACAAGGTTTCTTTAAAAATAAGCTTCCGTGATGTTCAAAGTATAGACAGTCCAAGCTTTGCATAGTTTTTTGACAAATGATATTAACTGTTACAAGGGGATGGGGCAAATGAAGAATTGGTTCAGGTGTGCACACATTTTAGTTACTATAGTGCCATGCAGGGCATGGACTGCCTCCATTATTTATTTTACCCTAATCTTTTAACCAAGGACTATATACTTATCAAGGTAAGAAAGCCCACTGCAACAACAATAACACTGATTTATTAAGCATCTATGATATCCCATGCACGATGCTAGGCATGTTACATACATTTACGTGATTCATCCTTCCTTCACATTCATAATATATTTTCTTATGCACATCGACTTTTCACAAAATCTGGAAATCCTCTAGAGCTAACGAGTCAGAATTCAAGAGAATTATACTGTATTGTAGCTTTCCTATGGGGAGAAAAAGTGAATTTTTCAATGTTTTACCAATCTTGGTTATGTGTGCAAGGAAGTAATTACTCAGAGCAATGGTGGAATCAAATAATCACACATTTTAAAGAGCTGCTAACTTTAACTTGAACTCATTCTATTCTGAAGGTGTCTCTCACACTTTCTGGCTCTAAAATTATGTTTCCCTTCATATTCCCAAATGCTAAGATGAAGAAAAAGAGAGAAACATTTCTCTATCTTTCACAAAATTTCCACACAGCAAGCATAGAGAAAGCAAAATTAAGGCTAATAACTGAGTGCCCATATTCCCAGCCAGTGCACAGATTTAAGAACACAAGTAGAGGAAGATAATGACTGTGCACACCACTACATCACTTGCAGGTAAAAAGCAAATCTCAAGGTGTTAGGCTGGAGTGTTTAAGCAGGACAAATTTCTTGGTATCATAATTCCCAAAGGTCTCATTCACAGGACAGCATTTATTCCCATCTCCAGGAGAAAAGCTATTGAAGAACCTGCCAAATTCATGGGGTCAAATTCAAAAGACTCCAGCATAGTCTGGGGGTGGAGCAAGGTGGATAGTAAGCAAAAATCCTAATCCCAAACCACTTATGGTTTAGTTTCTCAATGGCTCCAGGCAGAGACAGTGAGCAGCCACCCGTGGGTGGGGAGAGGTCAATCTCATAAAATGGATCCAGTCCACATTGTTGGCACAGTCCAATAATAACATTGACACAGTCCAAAGTTAGTTCAGGGAGTTGAATCAAACCGAACTATAAAGCACTTTTAGGAATAAACCACCAATAAGCAAAGCTTTAAATGAAATCAAATTCAGTTTTCATTGCCGGAAGAATGAAACTAGGATTATAAAAGATTCAGTTCTAAGAATTAAAAAAAAAAAACAACTTTGTAAACAATTGTGATATCAGCCAATACATCTGTATGGACCAAAAGGGGGACTGCACTTGATTTTCCTCTCTCTTTCTGCACAGAAGTCCTTATTCAGAACAACATTAGTGTGATAGAATGTAAAGATTAGAGCGATGATTCTCAAAGTGTGTCACTAACATCAACAGCATCAGCATCACCTGGGAACATAGTAGAAATGAAAATTTCTGATCCCACCCCAGATTTTCTTAAACAGAAATCCTTGAGGTGGGGCTCAGCAATATGAACTGTTTTTCTCAAAACAGGTCAGAACCCAACCTAGGTGGTATTTTTCTGTTTCCAGGTGAAAGGAATTTAGTCTTTACCCTAGTGAAGAGATGAATGATTAGTCTTGGAAGGAAAATTCTGACTTTTTAAAGATATGGAGTTACTCATCTGTGGCATTACCAAGCCTTCTAGGTAATTCTGATGCATACTAAAATTTAAGAACCACTGGATTAGAATGCAAACTTTTTCATAAAAGTCAGATAGTAAATATTTTAAGCGTGTGTCTCCATCACAATTCCTCAGTTCTGCAATTGTAGTGTGAATGCAGCCATAGACAATGGGCCTGGTTGTATTCCAATAAAACTTTATTTACAAAATCAGGCGGTTGGCTAAATTAGGCCCATGGGCTGTAGTTTGCTGACTCCCGCGGGGATAATGTTTCTTTTACTCCTCCCTTTCCCTCTCCTGCCTTGTTCATTTCTTGTTTCCACTTTCTCACCCGTCTTCTTTGCCTCTTCCCTCATCATACCTAATCTACTTAATACCCTTTCCCTCTATTTCTCATTCTTTTCTGCTTTCCTTTCCTCTCACCAGCTACTTTTTTAATGCAACCTCCAATTCTTTTCTCTTTTCCTCTAGTTACTCCCTTCTCCCTCTCTATCTCTTTACTCATTGATGCAGCCAAGAATGCAGTTTTCTCCCAACGTCCTCCCTTACTACTTTATCTTTTTCACCACCATGAAGGGTTTTTACCCACTTCCATAACAAATACAGGAGCACCTTTCTCACTGGCACTGTCTAGAAAAGGGCTGTTTTCTACTTATTGATTATTGAAGAAAGAAATGTCAGTCTTT